GTACCTACCTGCCCCCTTTCATATCAAAGCATCACAGATCTCATTACGCACGTAGCGATAAAGTACGGCATTAACCAAATGGACAAGAACTTGTATTCTTGCAGAATGATGTACAGCTATAACTGAAGCTTTGGAAGGCTTAGAGCTGCCCTGGCTATTATTCTGAGTTACCTATTATGCTATTATAGAGAAGAAAGGGAGAACGAAATTCAGGTGCACAGGCAAGTTTTTCAGGTTCTGTCTGAGGAGAGGCTGTTCCAAATGGCTGAGCTGGAGGGAGGAAGGCTCTTTTCCCTGGGGGCAAGGAGCATGGGTGAAAGGACCCAGCAAAGCACAGGCGCTGGGAGCAAAGAGCCAAGGGAGACCTATTATTCTTGAGCACACCTGCAGACTGCGTACTACTCTGTAGCCCTTGCCTCTAAGGATATACCATGTCTATCCCATTTCGGATAAGAGCAGACATGCTGCACAGCGTTCAACTCACTCCGTGCCAGGGGCTTTTGCTGTTCAGCACAACAGCAATGGAGACCATTTCACAAGCAATATCTATGCCCCTTCCCTTTGAGGAAAAAGCTGTCTGTGCTTGTCGGGACACATTCACTTTTAACTCTGGGCTGCCATTTACTTAGAGGATGAGTGCAGAGAACCGCTGGTGTACATTACTCCCCTGACCTTTCCTGTTTGATGGCATTACTGACAGCATGTCAGTGCTCAGCGCTCCAATAGCATTTATGCCATCCATCATCACAGCCCTCTAGAGAGGCAGACAGCTTGTATTATTAGTGCAACTGTAACCAAACTTTGTAGCGGAGGAGCTGGACTGAAGGTGGACAACTATTTATAGACTTGGAGCTTATTGTGATTACAAATGAGCTCACGGCGTGCTCAGAGCTGTACGAGACACAAATGCAGATGGTCACTATGTACAGAAGATCGGATCAGCAACATTGTCTTATTTGATTTCTTTATTCCCCTCGCCCCAATTCTGCAACACGTATCCTTGTGATAGCCTAATGAAATGCAGCACTGCGGCTCTCATGTGCCCTTGGCTACTCAATGGCAAACTCTGAACTCCTGCATTTCTGTTCCCTCAACTCTCCAACCTCGCCCATTTGTTTCATTCTCTTATTGCATCCTGCCTGCCCTGCAGGCAGCCAGATCCCCAGGTAAGGATTACCCCTTTGTTACTTTTCTGTAGATCCCCTCAATCAAGGGCTTCCTAATCCCTGACTGTGAATCCAAGGCACCATGGCAATACAAATAAGGTATTGCACCCATTGCAATATCCTATCATATAATAGCAGCCTATGCAAAACCCCCAAAACCCAATCCAGCTCTGTGATAGCGTGCCATGGGAAAGGGGAAGTTCCTTCTGTGCTCAACCAGCGATCAGCCTGTATCATCGCAAGGATCACGCTCACATTAATATGTAACCCATTTTGTTAAACGAGCGGATGGAATCATTTGCCTTCGTGTCCTGCAGCAGTCCGTTCCTTATGTTAATTATACAGCTCATTTCTTTAAACCTTTCCCAGTCCTATCTTTATCAGCTGTGACAGAGAATCACGTCATTGTCCGGAAAAAAAAAAATCAGTTAGCTGCTTTCCACTTCTCCCGCGCTCTTAAGGCCAAAGAACACATGGATTTCCGAGCTAGCCAGAGGAATGCGAGTCCTTACATGGTTTTGCTCCCTGATACTTTGTTGTCTCTAAAGAGCTATTCTCAGCCGCTAGGAATTGGCAAAGTGATGCTGGCAAGCAGCTTGGGTGGAGGCTGCTTATCACCGAGTGCATCTTCCCTGCAGTCAAAGTGAACCAAGATGCACTTCAAGGGAAAATCCATTTGAATCTTTGCTTGAGAAATAAAAGAGAAGGGGAAAAAAATGTGTTGTGTGACTGTGCCAACAATCCCTTTCTGTGATTTTGCATTAGCAGAGAGACACCCACTAGTTTCCCAACCCCCCTTCGCTCGAGTCCCACTCCTTATAAGTTCACACTCCCATCCCAAAACTCTACGGCTGCTGGCTGCAACTATGAATAGCAAGTAGAGGCTATTCTTCTCCAGAACTGCCCTTGTTTCTCACCAGCATGGGAGAGACCATAGTACCCGAGCAAACATCTATTGTGTATCAAGCCTACCTGCTCCAAAAAATATGTATTCACACTTCTGCAACATAACTGAGGCAAAGACAGTCCTGGACATACGTGCACTTGGCTTTCTCTGGTCTGAATGGTTTTTAAAGCACTTTTACATTCACGTGACAGAAGAAAAAAAAAAGAAGAGCTTACCACCCATTCATCTAGAACGGGGCCAAAAGGTACCATTGCTTTTTGTTATTTAAGCTAGGAAGGCTTCAAGGTAACCTAAGGGCCAAATTTTCCTCTTTGATCCAGAGAGAACCTAGATCCACATTATGCTCCCTTCTGACATAGGAATCGAGAGCGCTTGGCTGGTTCGGGGAGGATGCTGACCTGGGCCTACAAGGTAGAAACTTAACAACCAGCAACAGACCCATTCTCACATGGTCGACATGTTCCACTTTCAAACAGCAGCTGCTGCTACTCAAGAGGGAATGATCAGACCGCCCGCTGGAGACAACGGCAAAATGGGGTGTTCTCCATGCAAGTTGGGTGCCATTGGACACGTACAAACCTGGACTCCTCTAGGGAAGACTTACCTGCGCCAGGACATGTTGGTAATTCTGGTTCAACTCCATAAACATTACTAACATTGGGAGAGCTAATACATGCACGAGCCTCTGGCATTTTAAACAATGTGTCTCATAACTCTAATTATAGCAAGTATAATTGGCATGGTTCTTGAAATGCCAAAGGGTCTAGCATACAACGGCTTCCAATATCACTAGCAAAGTGAAGATTAATCCTCTGGTTGAAATGTTGTCATCTCGACCAGCAGATATGACCAGCATCTTCCTTAGCGGTTGGTACCTCTTCCGAGATACCTGAAAAGACATCTAATTTTTAGATAGCAAACACTGCCCCTCCAAAATCAGGTCTCTTTCAAGCGTCTTAAGTTGGACTCCTGGATGCCGAGATCCCTCAATGAAAAATCTTGGCCCATGTGTATAAATCAGCTAGGGCTTGTTTAGAAATAGTCTGTGATTATTTTAAAACAAGTCACTGAGCGGAAGGGACTCTGCGAAGCAATAACTTGTTTGCCAAACTGATGGCAGTAGCATTTTTAAAGCCGCTCGGTGCTAAATGACCCTGAATAGCAAGGCCTATTACTATGCAGAGGGTGAAAAGCTGAGTCCATTGAACCAAAAAGATTATTGCTAAATGGAAAAGGTAAATCTTTGCATCTTCTGCCTGTTCAGCTGAGTTACAAATATCATCTTATAACAGCTGTTTTTTCTCTTTAATAATCCAAGCTATTTGTTATTGAGTGCTCGTTTTTTCCGCAGTGGAAGGAGTCTCTCTCACTGCAAATTATGGGCCGGATCGTGAACTACTACTTGAAATTGGGCAAGAAATTTATTAAAAGCACAAAGATCCAAATCTAATGCTTACCCTCCTTAATTTTGTTTAAGTGAAGAGCTTACACCTGTTCCAATGTAGGTTTGGTATTTGAATCCCCGATTCCTTAAATGGTGGCATTAAACACAACTGTTAAAGGTGCAGCTTTGCGTGTGGCAATTGCTCTGAATCACAGAACCTGAGCAACACAAATCACCGTCTTTTTGATGCAGTATGCAGGAGCGCAGGAATACAGACCTACCTCAGCACACGCTGTATCTACAAACAGTGTGACAGAGCAATGCAAAAATGTTACGGGATCCTGTGCGGGAGAATATTACTTGCCTATATAAAATTGTCATTGAAAAAAAGCGTCTAGCTGCAATCGCTGTTGGTAGAGAAATGGAACAGGAATGAGGAGCAAAACTAAACAGGTCTGAATATGCCAAAGGATGCATTTGGGAACAGATTTAGGATTGTAAATATTTTTTTTGTCCTTAAAAAGTCATCCCATGGTGTTAAACGATGAAGAATCCACTCTCGCTCTCCAGCTTGTCCGGGTCGCCTAATTCAAAGCCGCCCTTAAGTCAGAGAATACACTTCTCCAGTGTAATGCAGTTGATTCAACTGGTCAAGAATTGGCAGCAAGAGATTTCATGAAGATTAACATCTTCCTTATGAAAACAAAGCCTTTAATCCTGCAGGCCATAGCTACACAGGCCTTTTTATGGGAGCGTGACTTCAACTTCAAACTATTCCACTATATAAATGGGGAACCTACTGTACACAAATGTAAGCTTCTATAAAAAGCAAAGCTTTCTTAAGTGGCTGTTGCTGGATTTTCCTTCCAGGCTAGGGATAAGAAGGCTTTAAAAAAAAACAAAAAACTCCACTGGATCAAATGGGAAAGTGATGACTTGAGAATGCTATGGCAAAACTCCGAGATGTCCATTTACAGCACTGCTAATGAGAAGAACATTTGTCAGGCCACTCGCATTCAGCATGAGCATATTGAAGTCGTAAAGCTGTCCGCCGTATGTTTCCTCTGGCATTTCAAGGACAGCAGACATAGAAACACTGCAAAGGGAAAAAAACTTTATCAAGTCTGTGGAAAAACACAGAGAAAAAAGAAAAGATGTTTTTCAAGTTCAGAATCCAGTCAGTGATGGAGGACATTTTATTCTCCCACAATTTCGATACAGCTGGCTGCTTTCATTTGTTATTTTTGTAATGCCAGCTCATTTGGTAAAGCCTCAATAACACAAAATATTTCTCCTGCTCATTTGTTCTCCTAGTTGTCTCCTTCCATACACAGACACATCACACTTGGCACCCTGGTAAAGATCTCTTGTAAAGGCTGAAATTTTTCGAGTGCTCTCTAGTTAGATGCCACCGAGTATAATATTTGGCAGTGCAAGTTAAGTTATACCATCTGGAAAGTATTACTGCACTTTTTTTCCCCTTTAAAAAAAAAAAAGAAAGAAAAGTCAAGTATTTCTTTCAGGAACTTGCACAGCCTTTTGCTAAAGAAAATTATGTATTTATTTTTTCTTTAAAAATGAACTGAAGTACAATTTTAGGAAATATCTGTTCATTACATTTACATACATCGTTGAAAACTGACTTTTTCCCCCCCAAAAGTGTTCCTTTACAGAGAGAAAAGGGTAAGCTCACATGCACCTTAAGTGGTCTCTACAATTTCCACCATATTACACTCATCACAGTATTTACAATATTACAAAGGCTAACCTGTAAATTCTTTAGACATATTGACATTTTCGTGTGAACACTTGCAATGTATAAGAAACCCTGAATAGTAACTGGATTGCACTGAGACAGATGTAGGCTGGTAAAAATAATAAGGCACAGTACTATGAAAAGGGAACAGTTTGTTCTTTTAGCAACACAGACTTACTAATCACCCAGTTAGTTCATTCATAAGGGTTTTATTCGGGAGAAAGGAAGCACACATCATTTAAAAACAGCCAGAAGAAGGTTGGCTTGTAAGAGTCTGAAGACCCTGGATTTTTCTATGGCATGGCGGGCACCAATATTAAGAGGCTATATTGAACATAACACCAGTAGAAGTTTGCACCAGACTAGAGAGAGGATCTTCTATGGGAAGTATGAGAGATGCATGAAACTTGCATATTTATATAAATTACATGTCCCTGATACCTTACTAAAAAGAGAAAAATGTTAAAATCTTTAAATGGCGCTTGTGGTATCCTTGGAGTACGAGAACTTGGAGCCAACGTTCAGAGTTGAAGAGCAACCATAATTCCTCCTGAAATCAGAGTGTGACCGGTACTCAGCACCTCCGAGAGAAAAAAACCTCCAACTTGCCCATCAGAAATGCCTTCTGGTGCCGAATCTGTTTTTAATCTCAGTTGTATAGTGCATAGAAGTACTGAAAATCTTTCCATATCGTTTTGGCCCTTTGCTTCCACAACAGCATTAAACTTTGCCGGGCAGAGGATTTATATCGCTCAATTAAATACAGAGCTCTGGGTGCAGAATCAGCCTTTTGCTTGTATTCATGGGATTAGTAAGACATTGCTGAGATCATCATGTATGCGCTTTACAACCAAAGCACCCGGCACGATTTTAAAAAAGGGAGGAGGATTGTGGTCTGCAGTGGGTGTCTTTAAAAAGGACCCAAGGTTTATTCAGAGGTAGTTTTAAGAGGATCACTGCTACAAAGCACCTCTTGTGTCGATCTACCATTAAAAAGATACCAGATGGTTTTTAACAGCATCCCAGTCCAAAAGGGTCACTATCACTGTGAATTATACCAGATTTTGACTAACAGTCCCACAAAAATTGCCTTACAGTATTTAAACACCTTTTAAAAACACCTTCTGTTCAGTTTGATCCGGATTCTTCAATTGCCACAAGACCAGAGATTGTATTCAAGCTGAGTAGGAAGGAAAACTAAAAAAATACTAATGGACAACAGAACCTGCTGCATGTAGAAGGTAGCTGAAATCTTCCCACAGTAATAAGCAATCAATATAAAATGGGAAACACCACTGTCAGCAATTGATGTTAGTAAGATCACAGCAGTAAAATAACAGAACCTTAAGTAAATGTACCTGTCGTGTAAATCCATCTATAAGTATTATCCTAATCTTTAGTGCAAGAACGATACTTCACTGTCCCGTCACTTTGGACAACAGAGCCACGGGCTTTTCAGATTATATCTGGACCCCGGCGTAAAAAGTAGCAGGTCTCAGATCTGATGCTTCTTTCTTGTTATAGAGCAATTTAAATACAAAAATATTGCTAAACCAAAGGCCTACAACCCACACTTCTTAAAAGAAGATTAAAACCACACAATAAACAGCGTATGTTGTTATTTACAATACAGAGCTGACGCTGTGTGCAGGAAAATATCGTGAACATTGGAAGGAACACTTGTTTAAACAAGCTTGGGCTTACTCAGTAAAAGGAATTTAGAAGCGTGATTCATTGTTTTACTGTAAACCTTGGCAATGCCTATTTGAATTGTGCTAGAGCATCAGGTGAACGCGATTTAAACAGCAGGAGAACCTCAATAATGCCTGGGAGATTTGCCGGGTCTTGTAGATTTGCAAAGTAAAGAAGATAGAGGACACTGCCGTAGCCATAGGAAAAGAAACAGAGAAAGCGGCTGTGTCCATTTATCCTGGCAAATATCAGCATTACTTCTGAACATACTAGCATGCAACGTACCAGTATTGCAGGTAGTCATATTTTTGCATGAAGCCAAACAAGCATTAGTGAGGTTCGACTGGTGAAAACGCGATCGCCTCCAGGATGTGACACTGTTGGACATTTTAGTTTTAGGTCCCAAAGGATTGCACGTGTGTCGTTCCCACATGCCCTCACAAAGGGCTCGGCATTTAGAGTGCTTGCAGGACCAGGCTTCTAGTTCCCCCTTTCACACTATTATGAATTCAGATGTGCATCCTACTTCTGGGCTATCGGGTCAAATTTTGCTAAGAGTATAAACACGTATTAAATGATACTGAAGTCAATGGGGGTGAATGAGTGCAGGACAGAGCCAAATTTGCCCACTGACTTCTTTTTCAGAACAGAAATTTACCTGTCAATATAGCAAAAATCCTCTAAAATCACCAACATCACCCTTCCCCTGTCTGCTGTGATACTGGGACACAGGCACGGCTCTAGCCAAGTACTTAAACACAGTCCTGTTTTTATATATATGGGTAGTCCTAGATGAACTGGACTCATGCTTAAAGCTAAGCATATGATCAGGGGACCCTGCCAAATCAGGGTCAAGGTGTTTCTGCCTGCCATTGCTTTGTTTGCCATTTTGCAATGCCGGAAGGTTCATTTGTACCAGGAAAAGAGCGAGGAGGGGAAGAAAAAAAATCATTCAAGTCTCCCTTATTCATCAAGATGCTACATATATATTCAAGATGATGCTAAAGCTGCAGACATCCTCTAGCATGTCTAAAAATATGCCTGCCTAACGTACCTATAAAAAAAACTTTTGCCTTGCCAACTGAAGAAACTGTTCGTGAGCTCCTAGGAAGTGGAACAGGAACAGACAAGAATCACATGCCATGGCTTTTGGGAGCCGTTAACTGTGTATGGCTAAATGCTGGCCTGTACTGCCTTACCACAGCTAGTAAGCAGGCTGTGTAGACACTTGTGTAGAAAGTGTAGACACTTGGACACTTGTGTAGAAAGGCGACTCAACAAAACATAAAAAGTATGTACTGTAGAATACTTAACAGGGCCAAGTTTCTTGGGAAACTCTGGAATTTAGAATCAAATACACATATTTGTTCAACTTGAGCTCTGTCACTTTATCAACCAGTTTCAAGGCGTTTGCCATTGATCGTGATCCAAAGCCCAAGCTGGACAAGCTTTATCCTGGTATTCCGACACGCTTTTAACCTTACAGACCCGGGCCCCTGATCCAACATGCCATTGATGGATGTAAGTAAACACAGGAATGAGAAAGTGCACCGTACATCACCTAACAAGAGCCTTGGATTTAAAACGTTTGGTCAATTTATTTTGCCGGACGCACCAATCGCTCCACTGATTGTGTAACCAGGAACTTCCCTGTCCTACCATAAAAAAAAATTGCTACAGAGAAACTCATTAAATTTAAAATCCTGGGCTCATAAAAAAGCTCTAAATTGCATTTAAAACTGTGTTCAAGCACTTGGAAAGAGATCAGATGTTTTTGTAACTCAGCTCAGACCACGTGGCTACATGGATTAACAGTTTCAGCAAGTTGTGCTGCTGTCTCTATTGATCACAATGCCATTTCATTTCTTGGCAAGGACGGGGAGAAATGGGGAAGAGAGAGAGAGAGACAAAAAACTGCGGCCAGGTACAGACATCGCACTTTTACCAGTGATCGCAAACAGGTTTATAGTACCCATAAAGGAGCAGAAGGTGAGTACACACAGACTGGTTTTAAAACGGCAGAACCCGGTCTAAGATTTGCCGTCCCCACCAAAGGGCGAACGTGTGCTCTGTTCACCACCCATCTAAACTATGCCGCTCACAGAAAACCACGCAACTTTGATTGATTCCACTTTGGGCTTTTTGAATGTCTGTACCTAGCCTTTATGTATATTTGAAGCATGCAAAACAGCAGTTGAGGCATCGCCCTCTCAGAGATACCCGAGAGGTCACAACTTGAAACGAAGTCATTTTTCGCCACGCGCTGTCTCGTTTCAAGACACTAATCTGCTTAGATGGTTTAACCTGCGTTTGTCGGGTATTTGAGAGATGACATTTAGAAAGGTTTCAGACCATTCCTTCAACTACTAGTCTTATCCCATACACAGCCTCTCACTATAGTCCTGGCCCTTAAAAATTCGACTTGCTTAGCAGGAAAGGAGCATCTGTTTTTTTTAAGAAGCAGCTCAGTGTAATCCAATGGAATTCACCCTGCAGGACAAAAAGGGATTTTAAAAGGACAGGATTGCAGACATTTCTCTAAGGCAGCCTCCATTAGCAGGGGTGCTTGTTTTTAGGATGGGCATTTTCAGTTGGGGAGGGACGGAGAAGGAATCACTTGGCCAAAATACACGCTTGAATTTAAACTCCAACCAAACAGGATTTGAGCAACTTGTGCTTAATGCTGTGGGCCACATTCTGCTCTTAGGTGCACCCAGACACCCTTCAATGGGAGCAGCATATACGTGTCTTTATGTACAACTAACATGTCCCCAAACGCCTGTAGGCTCCTTTGAACATCCCAGCTTAAGATATTTAGGCGCCTATCTCCTTTGGTGCCTACTTCCCTTGGGCTCCTTTGAAAAATCCCAGCCACCATGGGTTAAGGGAAAGCAGGACAGAACAATCACATTGTTAAAACATAAATGAGCAGCTTGCTAGCGACCTTCCAACCTCTCAGATTAAAACACTTGCGCTCTGGACAGTGGATCTGCAACCTCTTCCCTCAGGTTCAAAAATTCATTTGCAAGTTAAAACAGAAAGCAAAGGTCCTTCTATCCAAGAGAACAGCAGCATTTTAAACCTAGTTTGCCTGCTGTCAGTGCCAAACCATCTGCTGACTGAACTGTCCCTGATAAGAAATGCTCTGACTTGTTGTTTTTTTATGAAACTCAAACCAAACTGGCACATCTGTTAAAGCATGTCACTGCGCTGAGCCAAACAGATGTGCTGACCTATCAAGCGACGCCGTACGCACCACGTTGCAACTGAAACAGCTTGATAAAACAATTAGCCCTTGAAATGTTTACGTTTCGACTTTTTCTAAGCAAGATTTAGTGCTTAGTAAAAAGGAAAGCCATTACAAACCTCCGCATTTCACCACCTTACAGACTACTAGGAGGAAAATTAACACACAAGGTATGGAACTCTGGAAGTATGTCGTTCTCCATTAACTGACCAGTTTTGGTAGCACAGTGCATAGAGGTATACTGCCATTGGAGTCAGATGTTAAATTGGCCCTCAACTTGTTTGCCACGCCAACTACGGGAGGCAACTTGGAACCAATGCCTGGGAAAGAGCTTGTGTAGTTCGATATCCGTTTACTCGAGGTTTTATCAGTGCTGGGGGGCTTGGGTGTTCGTTTGCAAATCCAAGGATGTCTTAAAGCTTGACTTGGAGTCATGCGTGCAGAAGGATCCCAGCTAAGACATTCTTTTAAGAACTCTATAAAAAAGGGGTCGTCACACCCTTTTAGTGCTGTCACCCAGTCTTTGTTGCCTGGAGCACCCCGCATTTTGCCCCTGCGTGACCTGCTGCCATTGAGGGTCACCCTTCCGTCCGCATGCGTCGTGACCGTGCAGTAGCGAGGATGACCCTTGGAGTTGATGAAGTTCTTGGCTCGCTTGGATTGATCCAAGAGCTTCTGAGGAGGCATTCCAAGCAGTTCCATCATGCAAGCCAGCTGGTCTCCCTCATCCTCGCCGGGAAAGAGGGGGTATCCAGTCAGCAGCTCCACCAGAATACAGCCAAAACTCCACATATCAATAGGCATCCCGTAGCGACTCCCCAGAATGACCTCTGGCGCCCTGTAGAACCGAGACTGAATGTACGTGTAGACTCTTTGGTGCTCGAAGCAGCTGGACCCAAAATCAATCACCTTGATGCCACTCCGCCCTTGCTGTTTCAGGAGGATGTTCTCCGGCTTCAAGTCACAGTGTATGATTTTGTTTTTATAGAGCGCGTCCAAACACTGCAGTATCGAGTGGGCAAACTTGCGTACCAGCTGGATGCTGAACCCCTGAAACTTGTTTCTTTTGATCAGTTCGTACAGGTTCATGCTCAGGAGCTCAAAGGTCATGCAGATGTGGTTCCGAAAGGTGAAGCTTTCTAGCATGTGGATAACGTTCATGCTGCCAGTCTTATCCTGCTTCTTGAGATGCTCCAAAATGCGGATTTCTTCCGCAGCTTGACGGTGGAATCGCTTCTCATTGCGAACCATCTTTAAGGCCAAATGCTGGTGGAGTCTATGGTCATAAACTTTAGCCACTTGCCCAAAGCTGCCCTTCCCGATGATTTTAAGGACTTCGTAGCGGTAAGCAAGATGGTCATGAGGCACGTGAATGTAACTACCTTGGTCGTCATCGTACCCTCCGTTGTTAGGTCCTCCAATGACCCCTTGCCTCTTTTTTGCATTTGGACCCACAAAGTAAATTTCAGAGAAGTTCAATATTTCTTGCTGCTCGTAGGCAGACAACTGATGTTTATACTGTTTCAGTGCTTGCTCTGGAGCCTGAGCAACAGGTTTATGTGTTTTTGATGAACTACCACTAGATTTGGCTGTGCCTAAGCTGTCTGTGCTTTTATCTTTCGTCAGGGAAGGAAGAGATCTTTCGGACCCACTGATCCCTGCAGACTGAAGAGTACTGCTCCTTCTGTTTCCAGAGTCCTCAAATAATTGCTCAACTTTGACCTGGCTTCCAGTCAGGGGATGATCCTTCATTGTGAGTTTGTTGCTAGTGACCTGCGGGAATTAAAACAAAAAAACACGACACGAGAAAGATTAAATGTTGGGTGTTTTAAAACGCACGGGAAAAAATGTAACAATACCACCTACAACAAAGTGCTGTCATTCAGCAAGAGTTTTACATTTATTTTCAGAGTATGCATCTATTCGACAGCACACTGTTACCTTAACCAACCGGAGTTACATGCCTGCCATACACAGGGACGCAAACAAAATGCAATGGACTTTTGAAGATGTAATGAGCACCAACACACCATACCTTCATGGCATCTGACAAAGTAGGATGTCGCCCAAAAAAGCTTATGCCTTTTGGATTAAGTCTGTAAGGTGCCACCCTGCCCTGCTTTCCCCCATGTCTTCAGAGAAGGTACACCTTAGGCAGCCATTCCCCTAAGGGCAAAATGCCTATCCTTACTCGCATGCATCCAGCCAGAAGAAAAGCACTGCAGTTCAGCATGGCCACGTTTAGCCTCATAGCACGACACAGGGAGAGATGCAGCTTGCAGCTGTCTGAGATGTGCAATCTAGCTTGAACATATGAAGACTGTTCTGTGGACAAGAGTACAGAGGGGAAAGACAAAAGAAAGAGTG